GCTGCCCCCAAAGGCATGGGATCAGGCTGACCAGGTCTCAGGAAGGGGGGGTGGTCAGGATGGGACACCTTGTGGTCAGCATCCTTAAGTCCTTTTCATCTGGGGTCACCACAAGGATGACAAGGTCTGGCATGCAGCCCAGGGTCCCAGCTGGACCCTTATATCCAGACCCCATGCAAATGGGGCTCTCTTCCTGCTCATAAAAGAAGGCCCTGCCAGGCATGTTGGGGAGATACCCAGAACCCAAGTGCCTGAGACAGGACCCCAGCAGCTCCACCATGGACTTGGTGCCAAGCTGCATTTTCCTCCTGATCATTCTTCAAGGTCATTCTCAGGAGTGGGGAAAGCTGAGATCTGTGCCTGTGCCTGTGCCTGTTTGTGCTTCCAAGGGATTCTCAGTCCACTTTGTGTCTCTGTATTTGCAGGTGTCCAGTGTGAGGTGCAGCTGGTGGAGTCTGGGGGAGGCTTGGTGCCGCGTGGGGGGTCTCTTAGACTCTCTTGTGCGTGGGGGGTCTCTGAGACTCTCTTGTGCAGCCTCTGGATTCACCTTTAGTGACTATGAAATGAACTGGGTCCACCAGGCTCCAGGGAAGGGGCTAGAGTGGGTCTCACGCATTACTAATACAGGTGGTAGCACACACTATACCGCCTCTGTGAAGGACCGATTCACCATCTCCAGAGACATTGCGAAGAACACGCTTTTTCTGCAAATGAACAGCCTGAGAGCCAAGGACAAGGTCGTGTATTACTGTATAGCAAACACACTGTGAAGGGAAGTCAGTGTGAGCCCAGACACAAACAAGGCCCTGCCAGGCATGTTGGGGAGATACCCAGAACCCAAGTGCCTGAGACAGGACCCCAGCAGCTCCACCATGGACTTGGTGCCAAGCTGCATTTTCCTCCTGATCATTCTTCAAGGTCATTCTCAGGAGTGGGGAAAGCTGAGATCTGTGCCTGTGCCTGTGCCTGTTTGTGCTTCCAAGGGATTCTCAGTCCACTTTGTGTCTCTGTATTTGCAGGTGTCCAGTGTGAGGTGCAGCTGGTGGAGTCTGGGGGAGGCTTGGTGCTGCGTGGGGGGTCTCTGAGACTCTCTTGTGCAGCCTCTCGATTCACTTAGTGACTATGAAATGAACTGGGTCCACCAGGCTCCAGGGAAGGGGCTAGAGTGGGTCTCACGCATTACTAATACAGGTGGTAGCACACACTATACCGCCTCTGTGAAGGGCCGATTCACCATCTCCAGAGACATTGCGAAGAACACCGCTTTTTCTGCAAATGAACAGCCTGAGAGCCAAGGACAAGGTCGTGTATTACTGTATAGCAAACACACTGTGAAGGGAAGTCAGTGTGAGCCCAGACACAAACCTCCCTGAGAGAGGCAGCAGGGCTGGGCTGCAGGGAGTGTTCAGGACATCAGGGGCGCTCAGGACCAGCAAACCCAGGTTCCAGCTCAGAAGCTGTCCCTGGAGCGTTGTGCAGGCTTCCAATTGGGAGTCAATGCTTTCTTCCCTCCCTGTTGTCCCTGGGGCAGTTCCTGCTTCCTTCCTTGTGTATTTAAGTAGATTCTCTGCAGACAAAAAAGCTTGTAGTGGCTGTGTTTCAGATCTGGTCAACTTTTCATCTGTGCCCTTCCAGTCACCATGTCCCTGATGGTTGCTCTCTGGGTTGACAAGGAAAACATTGTAGAGCGAAGTCCCCCCGCTCCCATGCAGTGCTGAGCTGGGAAAGCGCAGTCCAGTCCCTAAACCAGGGGTGGGCAAACTTTTTGACTCGAGGGCCACAATGGGTTCTTAAACTGGACCAGAGGGCCAGAACAAAAGCATGGATGGAGTGTTTGTGTGAACTAATATAAATTCAAAGTAAACATCATTACATAAAAGGGGACGGTCTTTTTTTTTTTTTTATTTTTATTCATTTCAAATGGGCCGGAATTACATAAAAGGGTACGGTCTTTTTTTTTTTTTAGTTTTATTCATTTCAAATGGGCCGGATGCGACCCGCGGGCTATAGTTTGCCCATGGCTGCACCTGTAGGTGATCAGCCCCTTGCTCTGCCGTGGGGAGAGCCCTTTGGAGCAGTTAACTGCTTGCTTCTCACTGACATGTCTGCACATGGAGGTTTAGGGTCCAACCCCTGTGTGTGCTCCTGGCTCCGTGAACCTGGGAGGTGGACCTAGGGCTCAGAGTGTCCTGGGATGGAGGCAGGAAGGAGGCCCAGTGACAGGGCCTGTAACAGACCTGCTGGGTCTGGTTCCCTATGCGTCTCCAGAACCCAGGCCCCAAGGACACATCCCAATACTTGTCCCACTTCCCCTGGAGAATCCACCTGGATCCTCAGAACCTGCTGAAGGAGTCTTGGTCCCCACCTACCTCTGCTGTGCCTCCAGGCTCCACAGACACCACCCCATCTTCACCCTCTGTCCTCTGCCACCCACATTCTCACCTCATCAGGCCTGCACAGGACATCCCATGTGGCTGCACTCTGCCCTCTCCTTCCTGTCCTGGTAGGTTTTGCCTTAAATGCACCCCCATGCCATCCCCTCATGCCCATCTTCTGTGCCAGGCCCTCCCTGAGATGCCAGGGCCAGGGCCATTCAGGTGGCATGAAGCCAGCCTAGGCCACCCGGCTGAGCCCGTTACAGAATTTACCAGGCGAGCGAAAAATACACAGGAGTACTTGGAGGTCCAGGACAAGCCCATTTATTTTCAGATGTTTCACAGGGACTCAGGGGGTCAGTTCCCCAAATCCTGAGTAAAGCAATATGGAGGAAACCCTCTCTTTATACCCTTTAGTTTCTTTGTCCCCCAAATATGGATGGGACTTCCAGGCCATGTGTTGGGTTGGGGGCCGTGAGACTATACCTAAAGACCTGTCCTGGCACCAGGGCTGACATCCCCCTCCAGGGGTTGTGTATTGTTCATGGTTTATGGCCTCTGTAAAATGTGTGTATTTAGGTAAGCAGGTCTTGCAAGACTAGAGAAATTAGGAAGGGGCAAAGACCAGACTATAGACTGTCAGGAATGAGCATTAGGGATACTGACTAACTAGTTACAGAGTCAGGCTGCTGGTTGACCACCCCGCCTAAAAAAAATCTTATTTTCTTCATCAAGCCCACGTGCAGCCCCCCGCCTGTGTCAGGTGGAAGCACAGCTGAACACTGACCTCAGAGCACCTCCAACAGCTCAAACCTGTGCTGAGGGTACCTCCTGGGGGCCCATGAGCTGCTGATCATCATGGTGGACAAGCCTGTGGACACTGGAGTCAGAGGTCAGTCAGCGAAGGACTAGTGCCTGGTCACCTATAATGTTGCCAACATCCCGCTGACCAGAGCCCAGGTACACAGGGAGCTCTGTGAATCCCAAAAGTGCAGGAACAGCCTGCCAGGCTCAGTGGTTAAGCATCGACCTATGAACCAGGAGGTCAATTCCCAGGGTGGGCACCTAATAGGGTTGTGGGCTCCATGCCCAGTAAGGGGCATGCAGGAGGCAGCTGA